AAGGTCGGGTTTTGTCCAATTTAGGGATTTTTATGTAATTTGATTATTTTTTAGTGGGCTTTGTTCCCTTAGCATATTTTGATGGTTATATACTGATTTTGGTTAGATTTGGAGCATTCGAAGGCCGATTCGAGAGGCAAAGGCATCGCGGGCTAGAGTTTGGACCGGATAGAGGTAAGTAATGATTGTAAATGTTGTCCTGAGGGTATGAAACCCCGGATTTCACATCGTTGTGCTACTTTGAGGTGACGCACACGCTAGATGACGAGCGTTGGGTCATGAACTGTTGGGGATTGTGACTTAGTCCATCTCGTATGACTGTTTAAACGCGTATTTGATTGAAAACTGTTTGCTATCATCATATTTTGGGTTGAATGCCATATTTGGGCCTCGTGCCAATTGTTTTGGACCCTTATGGAATTGTTACCACTATTCCTCACTACTTTGACTTCATATTTGTACTCAGTCATGTTGTATTCTACTATTTTCATAACTCATCCATATTTACTTCGTTTTGACATATTGAATGATATTTTGGGCTGAGCATCATATTTTTACTGTGCCTGAGTGGCTTTGAGAGATTTCTGACTGAGTAAGGCCGATGGCCTATGTTGTGAGGATACTATGGGATTGGGCTGCGCGCCGCAACAATATTATACCGATTCATGATTATGAGGCTGAGGGCTTGATTTGTTATGCCACAAGGTGATTTGTTATAAGGCCGAGTGCCTGTTTAATTATGCCACCTTTTTAATTATGCCACGAGATGGCTTGATATTGCTCTTGGGCTATAAGAAGCCCATCCCGGAGTCTGTACACCCCCGTGAGCGTGGGTACCCAGTGTGAGATGTGATATAACCCGAGGGGCTGATACGAGTGGTTGTGAGATAGCCTGAGGGGTTGGTTCTGTTGGTATGTTGGCCGAGGGGCTGATTTATGTTTTTATCTTTTCTCCATGTTTTCTCCACTCGTTTGGACTGCTAAAAGATGTTTTAAAGAGGTTTTTATTGAACTAAGGTGTTTTTACGAGCTTTTACTATTTTATTGCATTGTTCTGGTTTATACTGCCTCATTATAGCATTTTATTGTGCTTTGCGTGTTTTCATATCGCTCAGCTGCCTTTACTTTTATTACTTACTGAGTTGGCATACTCACATTACTTCATGTACCCTATGTGCAGATCCAAGAGTCTCAGGTCATGCTAGTGAGGGCTTATTGCTTTCCAGCAGGCTATTCGGAGTTGACTAGGTAGTTGTTCGACATTCGCAGCCCAGTGCTTCTCCTTCCTACGTTTACTTTCCTTTGTACTAGCTTTGTACTAGACTGTGTAGTCTTTTCATACTCTTATACGGATTTTTAGATGCTCATAACTGGTGACACCACGATGTCGGGCTGTGTTGTTTCTGCTTTATTCTATTCTACTCTTTATTTTGGGATTTATAGTTTATTTATGACTTAAAATAAATTACTATAACTTCCTTAATTGGTCTGGGGGTTTGTGTAAGTTGGCCTTGTTTCATGAGAGGCGCCATCATGACCGGGTCCGGTTTAGGTCGTGATAAGTTGGTATCAAAGCCTAGGTTACATAGGTCTCACGGGTCATGAGCAGGTTTAGTAGAGTCTCGCGGATCGGTACGGAGACGTCTGTATTTATCCTCGGGAGGCCGCAGAACCTTGAGGAAAACTTCATATTCTTGAAATTCTTGTCGTGCGAATCTGTTGATCCGAGTACTAAACTTCTGTTATTCTATTCTCTCACAGGTGGTGAGGACACGTGCTACCGGTTAGGATGGACGGCCACCAATACCACCAGCTAGGACCACTAGAGGCCGAGGACACGGTCGAGGTCGTGGTAGGGGCAAAGGTCTAGCTCGCATAGCAGCTAGTGCAGCACCTGAAGATCTACCAGCCGCCCTAGTTCATGATCAAGTCCCAGTTGTGGACGCTCCAACAGCACCAACTCAGGCACCATCTATGCCCATTGTGATTCCGGGTCTTTAGGAGGCCCTGGCCCATATTCTATAAGTATGTACTGGTCTAGCTCAGTCGCAGCTACTTCTCAGGCCGAGGGAGGCACTCAGACTCCCGCCGCTCGCACACCTGAGAAGGTCGTGCAGGTACTTCAAACACCAGGGGCACCTCCAGCCTAGCCGGTTGCAGCTGTTCAGGGCTATGTAGCTCTTGTTATGCTAAAGGACGAGCAACATAAGTTGGAGAGGATTGGTAGACTTCAGCCTCCGACTTTTAGTGCTACAGAGGCTGAGGATGCCCAAGGTTTCTTGGACAAGTGTTAGAGGATTCTTTGCACAACGGGTATTCTGGAGACCAGCGGGGTCACTTTCACAACTTTTCAGTTTTCTGGAGCTGCATTCACTTAGTGGGAGGCTTATGAGAGGCATAGGCCTATTGGTGCAGCACCCCTTACCTGGAAGCAGTTCTCCGTTCTCTTTTTGGAGAAGTATGTGCCGCAATCTCGTAGAGAGGAGCTGCGTAGGCAGCTCGAGCAGTTGCGTCAGGGAGATATGACCGTGACACAGTATGAGATGAGGTTCTCAGAGTTAGATCGTCATGTTTTTTGATTGGTTCCTACGGAGAGGGATAGGATTATGAGGATCGTTGATGGCATCATATATCGGCTTCGTATTCTCTTGACCAGGGAGAGGGTGTCTGGTGCTACTTTTGAGAAGGTTGTTGACATTGCTCGCGAGATTGAGTCTGTTCGTCGCCAGGAGCGAGATGAGAGGGAGGCCAAGAGGCCTCGGGGATCTGGTAGTTATGGCGGTGCTCCTTCGAGAGGTTAGTTTCAGCACAGTAGAGGTCGTCCATTCAAACATGCTCAATCAGCTCGCCCAGGTTATCGTGGGGCATCATCGGGTCATGGTTCTCATAGTGCTCATCAGGGCCATTCATCACCAGTGCCCTTCTGGCCCAGAGTTCATCCCATGCTCCATCAGTTCAGGGCTCTTCTATGCCAGGTGCATCTGCTAGTCATTCCGGTGCTTGGGGTTCTCTTCAGTCCCTGTCTCCAGCACCAGGGAGTTGTTATGAGTGTGGAGAGTTGGGCCACATGTGGAGGCAGTGTCCTCGTCGTCTTGGGGGTTCGTCTCAACAGAGGAGTCACACTACAAGAAAATCTGCCTTTAAGGAAGGGAATTCTAGTCCCTAAAGATTGAAATCTGGTCCTAAAAGGGTAAATTACGAGGGGAAATGGCTGGTCGTAACCCGTCGTAATAGCCTCCGATGCTAAATGTCAATAACGATGGGTCTTGATACATGGTCGTTAAATCACTTTAGTGACGAACAAAAAATCCGGTCATTAAATACTTTTAAAGACTACATTTCTCGTCCCTAATAGACGATAAAAAAATATATATTCCCGTCATGAAATCTTTGTAGCGACCAACTGTAACTGGTCCTAAATTATCTTTTAGAGACAGACAAAAAACCTGGTCGTGAATAACTTTTAGAGATTACATTTCTCATCCCTAATAGATGATGAAAAATATATATTCCCATCGTTAGATCGTTTTAGCGACTAACTGTAACTGGTCCTAAATTATCTTTTAGAGACTGAACAAAAAACTTGGTCATCATTCCTATCGTTACCATTTGCGCGACCAACCTTTAACTGGTCTTAGATTATATTTAGAGACGACGTCACTATTTAAAATAATTTTGTAATTTAGCGATTGTATTCATGGTCTCTTAATAACCATGAGTAGTCCTAAAAGCTCAATGCCACAAAAAGTAATTTTTATCAATCAATATCAAATTGTTATTGAAAAATCTAGATATAAAAAGATAAGATATCAAGTTCAAATCCCATGATGATGTTACTTTCTATGTTTTCTCAACACCTCAACAAAACAAACTTAGCTATCATCCTGAGCTAGACTATGATATCAAATTTTTCATAACATTTTTAGCAAAATAATAATGAGTTTGTGCATCTTCTAAACTTGAATCTTGACTTGTAGATTTAGTCTTCAAAACCTGTAAGTACAAAAGTTTGAAAAATGATATATAACTACTGGTAAAATAATATATATAATTTTAAATGAGCAATAGTTAAATTGCTTACCCCAAAAGCAGTCAAAATTCACCAGGTGATATCCACCAACATCAACAAGGCTATAAGAATATAAGAAAAATTAATTAGAAAAGCTTTGGGATGGTTAATCTTACTTTGGTTCGATAAATCCCGGTACGATAATTCGAGATTTACCATTCAAGATACCAACTATTATGAGTAGACAACAACATCACTAGGCTAATTTCTAGCTTGGCAAAAGAAACCTATGATGTAGGGGCGATCACGGACTTTATTGTTGAGATTGAGAGCGACAACTATAACCTACAAGTGGCTAGGGTGTAAGTAAAAGCTATGAAATGCTTCCGACAAACACAGGGAGAATAGAATGTTGGCAGATCATCTAAGCTTTAACGACAGAGAAGTCATTCATTCAATCACACGTTCTGTGTTTATACCATGCCAAAACTAATTTACACATAGAGAGCCACTGTTCACATAATTCAAATGATTATTAAACCAACATGGCTGACATGAAAGAGTAAAGATACAGAGTGTTTCAAAAGAATAAACTTTTGCTGGTTAAAACTAGCATAATTCAGGTAAACACACAAATTATAAAGAGGCAAAAGGATAAGAAAATCATGTTTAAAAATGTACAGAAAGGCCAAAAAGACTTTTACTTTAGTGTTTGAGAAATTTCAGGACCCAAACTACTAATGACATATATCAAGAGATGGATCCCTAGGAACATAACAGTCTTGGGTACACAACTACATGTGTTTATAGCTTATCGGGTGGGACATTCAAAATTGGGTGAGACTCTATATGACGTGTTGTATAAATTTGGTATTTTTAATTGTAAGAGAACCATATCATCTATTTTTATTGAGCACAAACATCATCTACTTTTCCAGCTAACAACTCCTCAAATTCTTACCACACATTCCTGATTTGCTTAAAGATTGAATTCCATAGGAAGCTATGACTACTTACTGCACCATTGTACATTAATTAAATTGTTCTCCTTTTAGAAGAGTGAAGTCAAACAAATCTATAATATAGAAATTGACTATACACAAATCATGAATAAAAATTAAAAAGTTGGGTATATTGTTACTAGCTTGGTTAGCAGACAAAAACAGTGGTCATTCAGTTGAAACGGGCGATGTCGTCGTAAGCGGGACATGTGATTGTTGAGCAGTGAAATACTCTCTTATTTTCCTCATTTCTTTTATCTCATCTTCTAAAGTAGACAAGCGCTCATTCAAGGATTTGTTTTCCTCATTCAAAGATTTGTTTTCTTTTTGAGTTGAACGTAGCGCGAACAGTAATTCAGCCTTTGAAGAAGTTCCACCTTTCAAGTCTTTCGCCTTGACTCCACCCCCAAATCCAAACACATGGCTACGAGTTTGAGGTCCACAACATTTTTCTATAATCTCTATGCTAGGTAGAGATGGATCTGCTTGAACTATTTCTTCTATTTGAGCCTACAAAATATATAAAAAGAATATTTAAAATCAGAATCCATCATAATTTCAAGTAATTTACATATTCAATTTACCAAACATACATGTTTTTTAATTGCTTCAGGTTCAACAACCTTGTTATCTTTCTTACGAGTCTCAAAGAAAATTGTTGCCAAATCCGGTGGGTTGCCATCTTTTCCGCCCTTTACATCAAAGGCAAACATGTCAAATAATAGCTCGTAAATATTTTTCTTAGGAAAATATAAATTTTATGATAATACCTTTTGATAAATGATCTCACGAATAGGCTTGCTACTAATATGATGAAGCATCTTCAACTTAGCTCGATTTGCCGCATTCCTGTTGCTTCTCGCCTATATTTGTGAAACATTAAGATTAAATGTAAGAAATTTAATAAACTTAAATAATAAGTTGAGCTTCTAAAAATCTTCAAAATAAACTTAATGTTCCAACATACAATATATACTTGAACACTTGGCCTCAAGGAATATGAAGGCAAAAGCACAGAGATAGGTCATGCCGAACTATAAGGTTCACTAGAGATGGAACTATAAGGTTCACTAGAGATACAGTACAAAGGTCCATAAATCAAGGCTATTCCAGATGTACTTGCAAGAAACTCAACTGCTAAAGTCAGATTTAACAGTCATGCTACAAATATGTTATTAGAGTATATTTTTGCATAGATGTGTCTCTACCAGAGGAGTTGAGAGCTACGTCAGAAAACTTCCAATGAATATATTTCTCTCCGTCTATAACTTACAGCATTAAACCACTCTTTCCACCAATTTTCATACCAACGAGAGTTTTAGCACGTATATGTAATTGTTGGCAAAATAGCTATATGACCAAGATGCAACAAACACGTGGGAAAATCGAGAACAGTGTGTTTTTGAGATCTCTCTTGAATCACCATCACATACTTTTAGTGGGGTTGGTTTCCACTTTCCAGTAAAGTTATTATATGTCGGTATGTCCTAATAAATCAGTAGTATAAATTTTCAATAGAACTATGAACAGAAGTTTGGATTAGATAAGTCACACAAACAAAATTTAGGCCTCTATTCCAATTTTTACATATTAGCTGCTAGAGACAATACTATAGTCTTTTTGCATATTTAGTAATAACAATTTTTTTGTGACTACTTTTTATTTACCAAAGAGTAAAGATAAAGTTCAATTTTCACACTTACTATTAATTCATGTTTTATTTTCTTTTACAGAATCAAGATGTTGTAGAGTAAAAGAGGATTTACTAATCTCTTTTGAATTCTCAGTTCTCTCTTGAAACACCATCGCTTACTTTTGTTGGGGTCTACCAAAATTCTTCCTTCAACTTTAGATCAATAAAATGAATTCGAACTTCAACTCCGGGCAACATAAATATCAGCTCTATTAAGTTATACTAGTACTAATTTCTGAAGCTATTTGCCGCAAAGAAAGTTTGTAAAATGAGTTCTCCATGACTAATATCAGCTCTATGAGTTGTCATGGAAACATCTGTGGGTGCTGTCCAGATTACTATTATAAGATATTTCATTATTTTCTTTCTTCCCCTCTCCTAGTTTTCTTAAGTTGATGGATAACGAGTCAGAAAGGGGTATTCAGCTGCTAGTCATCTTTTCAATTGAATGCGGCCTGGAGTTATAGACTGATTACTTCTATGATTCAGTAACTTATGTCAGTTCCTTCCAATGGTTTATAACCTCTTTTACTATACCAAAAGGAAAACAAAAGAAAAATTAGCTGAAACACACCAATCTGTAATATTAATACATGTTCTTCAATCCAGCTTTAACCACTTGAATTACCATATTCGAATTCATTCTGTTGATCTAAGCTTTTTAATAGCTTCATCGTAGTTCTAACTTTTCTATTTCCCCTGTTCTGGTGCATGAATCGTGATTCTTAAGCTGAAACTACGCATCCAAACACATAATTCGATAACTTAAATAAGTGAAACTTAGACGAGAGTTCATATCAGCCATCATGTATATCTGAAATGATCAAGACATAAGCTCTTGAAACGTCAACATTTCAGCTGAAGTGCTAGGGAGGGGAATCAGGGTGCAGATGCTTTAGCGAAATAGATTATTAAATCACTAGGCTGGTGCAGATGCTTTAGCGAAATAGATTATTAAATTACTAGGCATACTTGAAAATTTTCTGAAGAAAAATGTTTCTTTAATAACCACTCCCATTCTTTCTTGTCTATTCCCTTTGGAATATTCTTAAGAACCTATTGAATTGGCTTATCCTTCACATATTTTGCATGCAAGTGTCCTCTCCATTTGTTCCATAACTCTTTCATCCATGTGAAGATATGATCACGATGACCATTCATGTCAACACTCTCAAATTTATCCTATAATAATCAAAACTTGGTTGAGTTAATGAATTAGTTTAGTTTTAGTAACTACTCATAATCATGTGTTAGGAGCAACTCTCCCGTAGTTATACAGCAATTAACATATAATATAGTTTCAACTGTTATTTCAAACTCTACAGCAATTAACAATTGAATCAGTTAATATTCTCCACAAATTATACAGATAAGCACAAGCATGAAAGATGAGAGCATACTGGGCATAGTTTCCCTCAGTGTCTAGTTGATCAGTACACTATACATCCATATGAATACCTCAATACACACTTCACATATATAGGTATTGAGGTTACCAAGTTGCTCGAATGGAAAGGAATAAACTACATGAGTCAAGCTAATGATTGGGTGCAATGGAAGAAAAAGCTACATATAAGTGATACATTCAAAATAGGACAGAGAGAATACTAATGGTGCATTGGTGGCTTGGTGCCATACTGCCATGTATTTTTCCTTTAGATTTAACAGCCACCCTTATGGAAAAATGGTTCTAGCACAAAGCTAAAATAGTTTGAGAAAAGAAGGCTAAGAAAATAGTTTAAGGGGAAAGTTGCAAAATAGCCAATAATTAAGGAGGTTGGAGAGCATTTTAGTTCCAAAAAAGTAAAGTATTTCAGTTCAAAAAGATAAAGAGCAAATTGACAGAGCTTGTAAAACACATTACCTAGAGAGAAAAACGACCAGAGCTATTAACCAGAGGAGCNAACCACTACCATTCTTTCTTGTCTACTCCCTTTGGAATATTCTTAAGAACCTATTGAATTGGCTTATCCTTCACATATTTTGCATGCAAGTGTCCTCTCCATTTGTTCCATAACTCTTTCATCCATGTGAAGATATGATCACGATGACCATTCATGTCAACACTCTCAAATTTATCCTATAATAATCAAAACTTGGTTGAGTTAATGAATTAGTTTAGTTTTAGTAACTACTCATAATCATGTGTTAGGAGCAACTCTCCCGTAGTTATACAGCAGTTAACATATAATATAGTTTCAACTGTTATTTCAAACTCTACAGCAATTAACAATTGAATCAGTTAATATTCTCCACAAATTATACAGATAAGCACAAGCATGAAAGATGAGAGCATACTAGGCATAGTTTCCCTCAGTGTCTAGTTGATCAGTACACTATACATCCATATGAATACCTCAATACACACTTCACATATATAGGTATTGAGGTTACCAAGTTGCTCGAATGGAAAGGAATAAACTACATGAGTCAAGCTAATGATTGGGTGCAATGGAAGAAAAAGCTACATATAAGTGATACATTCAAAATAGGACAGAGAGAATACTAATGGTGCATTGGTGGCTTGGTGCCATACTGCCATGTATTTTTCCTTTAGATTTAACAGCCACCCTTATGGAAAAATGGTTCTAGCACAAAGCTAAAATAGTTTGAGAAAAGAAGGCTAAGAAAATAGTTTAAGGGGAAAGTTGCAAAATAGCCAATAATTAAGGAGGTTGGAGAGCATTTTAGTTCCAAAAAAGTAAAGTATTTCAGTTCAAAAAGATAAAGAGCAAATTGACAGAGCTTGTAAAACACATTACCTAGAGAGAAAAACGACCAGAGCTATTAACCAGAGAAGCATGATATCTGATCTAGGACCTTACCAGTTGATCCATCTGTACTGGAATAGTTCAAAAAAAAGGGAAACTAAATACTAACTGCACAAGTTAACGACCTATTATAGACAGCTTACAACACTATTGCCATATGTGTATACTAAACATATATACAGTATGGATAGCAGGTTGATCGAGATACATTGAGCTACATAATAATACAATTGGAGGATATGCTGGAACAAAAATGGAAAGACATCAAGCAAGGGAAGCTGCCCAGTTCTTACTTCTGGACAGAGACCATGTATGCACATCTTACACAGACAATGCTGTGACTGAATCTGTTTCTAAATAGGGGTAAAACAGCAATGTGTTTCAACATAGAGGCACAAACAGGAATACATGTATTCAACTAAATGATATGCATCTTCACTGCATAAATATCTTGCTTACCTCAATAGCTGCCCACATGTGATTCAACTTTTCTTCCTTAATATCATTCCACCATGATACTCCCAACGGACACATATTACGGTCACGAACGATTTTTCCCAAGTGCCTCGAAAACAGTTTGCTATTTGTTCCAACTGTTAGATTATTATAAAAGGTTACTTTCTTACTAGGTGCATCCATTGCTTACTAGGTGTCATAACCTTGGAGAGTAAATAAAAATTAAATTTAATAAAGATAAAAGGTAAGAAAAATACTACGATACACACTACTTGTTACGATCAGCTGAACATAACTGATTCAACTCTAAGGTCGCACTTTCTAATCGACTCGGCTCCTCTATTTTCAGTTAATACATTGCAATATACAATCAGATGACACTTAGATAAATGAATGTCTGGCGAGAAATCCTAAAATTTCCAGCTTTACTACTAACAGGCCAACTCACTTTTGTTTGACACAAAAAATACGCGCATTGGTAATGAAACTACTGAAGTCACTAAAAAAATCACATGGAAAATAAGCATAGAACTCTCCACCGATTAAATTAAAAAAACAAAGGAAAGGAAGCATGGATAACTGAAACATAAATATTAAATGAAAAAGAAAGTTCATGAGTCAAAGAAAAAGATCAAAGAAAATACAAATATTATTGAATTATCATAACTGAAACATAAATCTTAAATATAAATTGCAATTATTACGTCTTAATCTCAAACTAGTTTAATTAGCTTTACTAATCCAGAATATCAATTCCACTCCATTTGAACCACTCCTATTCCAATATTCAACTAGTTTGGTCCATAATTTAACATAATAAAAAGAAATATGCAGACCCATTAAGGAACAATATAAACTATACACAAATTTAAAGAAGATCAGAAGTAAAACGAAACAAATAAAAACCCATAAAGCTCAAAGAATTTTTTACTTTGCTAGATGACAGAATAACAGACACCCATAATTATTTTTTTTACATCAACCTTCAATTATGTAGCTGTAACCAACATATCAAGCCTTTGAGACCTAATTCCCAACAAATTAAATAGGGCAATTGAAAAACAATTTTAGAATATGAGTAATAGCAATAAATCTTGAAAACTCAACATATAAAAGGCATATAGCTCACGTACACAAGAGAAAATAAATCAGCATGCTCAACAATACTCAGGAAAAGTAAACTGCACAAAAATATTCACAATATAAGTAGTATAAACCTTTAGAAATAGCACCCAACAATCAGTTTATAGAAGAAATCCCAAACAACAAACTTTAGCAAACAACAGTAAAAATTATAGTAGCCCAAATATCCTCAAGATTAATCCCTCACTGAATACATAAAACTAATATGCCATTCATTGAATACTTAGCTTTCAAAACTGGTATGCACTTTGAATGAAATAATATTCTTCAGACAATATGCTACAAACTTGAATACACTTCAGAAAATTAAATTATCAAATTAGGAATCCCAACCCAATAATCTTTCCACTGATTATATAAACGAAAAAATACTATTTTTTTAATGTTAGAGAAGAAGAAGAAGTAGAAGATCTAAGATCTGCAATTAGTGAAATTAGAACGCATAGAGAAGAAAAAGAGAAACTTGAAAGAGGAGGCATACCTTGGATTCTCACAGGAGGAGATGGAAACTAGGGCAGATGATTAGTTGATCGATTTCGCACACGACCAGACGAGCGAGATCGGCTCTAACGCTAGCTAGACGGAGATTAGGGTAGAGGATTTTATGCAGTACTATGTTTTGAGAATACAGAGGTTTAATTTTGCTTTTAGAACCTTTTACTTTTTAGTTTTGGCGCCTAATTTTTAGAAAATAATAGTTTTTTAATATTTTGGTATTAGATTTGGCGGCACTCTCTCACACTCAAGGCCTCTAAATTATAATTTGGGAACAATTACTATTTTTTATGGACCAGATTTATTACCTTCGAAATAAAATAAAGCATTAAGGGCCACAATATAATCTCGTCCCAATACATATATTATTAGCGACGGGATTATTAACTTGTCCCTAAAGGTTGGTCTTAAATAAGGCTTTTTCTTGTAGTGTCAGACATCGGCTTCAGTGCAAGTTACTTCACCACCCACCCAGCTAGCTAGGAGTGGAGGTCGGTCAGCTAGGGGTCGCCCTAGAGGGGGAGGTCGATCAGGTGGTGGTCAAGCCCGTTTTTATGCACTCCCAGCTAGACCTGATGTTATTGATGCAGATGCTATGATTACAAGTATTGCTTTAGTATGCCACAGAGATGCCTCTGTGTTATTTGATCTCGGTTCTACTTTTTCATATGTGTCATCATATTTTGCTCGTTACTTGGATACATCCCGTGAGTCCCTTGTTTCATCTGTTCATGTATCTACTCCGATGGGCGATACTATTATTGTGGACCATGTGTACCGGTCATGTGTGGTGACTATTGGGGGTCTGGAGACCCAAGTGGATCTATTATATCTTTGTATGGTGGACTTTGATGTGATATTGGGCATGGATAGGCTATCTTCATGTCATGCTATTTTAGACTGTCATGCTAAAACAGTGACGTTGGCTATGCCTGGTGTGCCATGGATTGAGTGGCGAGGTTCGACTAATTTTACCCCTAGTAGGGTGATTTCGTTCTTGAAGGCCTAGCGGATGGTTAGGAAGGGTTGTTTTTCATACTTAGCCTTTGTGAGGGAATGTTAGTGCAGAGACTCCTAGTATCGATCTTGTTCCTATTATGAGGGATTTTTCTGATGTGTTTCCTACAGACCTGTCGAGCATGCCACCGGACAGGGATATTGATTTTGGTATTGATCTGGTGTCAGGCACTCAGCCCATTTCTATTCCATCGTATGATATGGCACCAGCAGAGTTGAAAGAGTTGAAGGATCAACTTTAGGAACTCCTTGATAAGGGGTTTATTCGGCCTAGTGTATCACCTTGAGGTGCGCTTGTTCTATTTATGAAGAAGAAGGATGCCACGATGAGGATGAGCATTGATTACAAGTAGTTGAACAAAGTAACAATCAAGAACAAGTATCCTTTGCCTCGTATTGATGATTTATTTGACCACCTTCAGGGAGCGAGAGTGTTCTCCAAGATTGATCTTCATTCAGGTTATCACTAGTTGAAGAATAGGGATTCGGATATTCTTAAGACAGCCTTCAGGACCAGATATGGCCATTATGAGTTCTTTGTTATGTCTTTTGGGCTGACCAATGCCTCGGTAGCGTTCATCATTTGATGAACATCATGTTTCAGCCTTATTTTGACTCGTTCGTGATTGTTTTCATTGATGATATTCTGGTGTACTCGCGTAGTTAGGAGGAGCATGTAGAGCATTTGAGAGTTGTGTTGCAGAGGTTGAGGGAGGAGAAGCTTTATGCAAAGTTCTCCAAATGTGAGTTTTGGCTCAGTTCAGTGGCTTTCTTGGGGCACGTGGTGTCTAGTGAGGGTATTCAGGCTGATCCGAAGAAGATAGAGGTAGTTCATAGTTGGCCCAGGCCGTCCTCATCCACAGAGATTTGCAGCTTTCTTGGTTTGGTAGGTTATTACCGTCGGTTTGTCCAGGGATTTTCATCTATAACATCACCCTTGACCAAGTTGACTCAAAAGGGTATTCCTTTTATGTGGTCGGATACGTGTAAGGAGAGCTTTCAGAAGCTTAAAACAGCCTTGACCTTAACTCCAATGTTAGTTTTGCCATAAGGTTCAGGTTCATATACAGTGTATTGTGATGCTTCGAGAGTTGATATTGGGTGTGTGTTGATGTATGAGGGTAGAGTTATTGCTTATGCTTCTCGCCAGTTGAAGCCCCATGAGATGAACTACCCTGTTCATGATTTGGAGTTGGCTACCATTGTTCATGCGTTGAAGATTTGGAGGCATTATTTGTATGGTATTTCTTGTGAGGTATTTACTGATCATCGTAGCCTCCAACACTTGTTCAAATAGAAGGATCTCAATTTGAGGTAGTGGAGATGGTTGGAGCTGCTAAAAGATTATGATATTACTATCTTGTACCATATGGGGAAGGCCAATGTGGTGGCTGATGCTTTGAGCTGGAAGGCGGTGAGTATGGGGAGTTTGGTGTATATTCCAGTTGGGGAGAGACCTCTTGCAGTTGATGTACAGGCCTTGGCCAATCGGTTCGTGAGGTTAGATATTTTGGAGCCCAGTTGGGTATTGGCTTGTGTGATTTCTCGGTCTTCCTTATTTGATCGCATTAGAGAGCGCTAGTATGATGATCCTTATTTGCTTGTCCTTAAGGACACAGTTTAGCACAATGATGCCAAAGATGTGACCATTGGTGATGATGGGGTATTGAGGATGCAGGGCCGGATATGCATTCCCAATGTAGACGGGCTTCGAAAGTTGATTCTGGAGGAGGCCCATAGCTCGCGGTATTCCATTCATCCCGGTGCCGCGAAGATGTATCAGGATCTGAGACAGCATTATTGGTGGAGGAGAATAAAGAAGGACATTGTGGGATTTGTAGCTCGATGTTTCAATTGTCAGGAAGTGAAATATGAGTATCAGAGACCGGGTGGCTTGCTTCAGCAGATGGATATTCCAGAGTGGAAGTGGGAGCAGATCACTATGGATTTTGTAGCTGAACTGTCACGGACTTTGAAGAAGTTCGATGCTATTTGAGTGATTGTGGATCGGCTGACCAAGTCCGTGCACTTCATTCATGTGTGTACTACCTATTCTTCAGAGCGGTTGGCAAGGATCTATATCCGAGAGATTGTTCGTTTGCATGGTGTCCCAGTTTCCATCATTTCAGATAGAGGTACTCAGTTTACTTCACAATTTTGGAGGTCTGTGCAGCGAGAGTTGGGTACTCAGGTTGAGTTGAGCACAGCTTTTTACCCTCAGATGGACGGGCAGTCTGAGCGCACTATTTAGATATTGGAGGACAAGTTGCATGCTTGTGTCATTGATTTCGGAGGGACATGAGATCAGTTTTTGCCGGTCACAGAGTTTTCTTATAACATCAGCTACCAGTCGAGTATTCAGATGGCTCCATACGAGGCTTTGTATGAGAGGCGATGTAGATCTNGAGTTTCTATCGCTCGCAGAGTTTGCTTATAATAATAGTTATCAGTCGAGTATTCAGATGGATCCATATGAGGCTTTGTATGGGAGACGGTGTAGGTCTCCGGTCGGTTGGTTTGAGCCGAGTGAGGCTAGGCTATTGGGTACAGACTTGGTGCAGGATGCTTTAGACAAGGTGAAGGTGATTCATGAGAAGCTTCATTCAGTGCAGTCGAGACAAAAGAGTTATGCTGACAGGAAGGTTCGGGATGTGTCCTACATGGTTGGTGAGAAGGTTCTATTGAAGGTTTCACCCATGAAGGGTGTTATGAGATTTGGGAAGAAGGGTAAATTGAGTCCTCGGTTTTTTGGGCCTTTTGAGTTGCTTCGGATGATTGGGGAGATGGCTTATGAGCTTGCTTTGCCACGCAGCTTATCGAGTGTGCATCCGGTATTTCATGTTTCTATGCTCTGAAAGTGTATTCGTGATCCGTCTCATGTTTTGCATTTCAGCACGGTTTAGTTAGATGATGATTTGACTTATGATGTGGAGTCAGTAGCTATTTTGGAGCGGCAAGTTCAAAAGTTGAGATCGAAGGATATAGCTTCAGTGAAAGTGCAGTGGAGAGGTCGGCCCGTGGAGAAGGCTACTTTGGAGATCGAGCGGGAGATGCGGAGTAGATATCCTCACCAGTTTGAGACTTCAGGTATGTTTCTTGACCCGTTCGAGGACAAATGTTTATTTAAGAGGGGGAGGATGTAACGACCCAGCCGGTCGTTTCATGAGTTACCGCTCCATTTTCCCCATTTCTACTTCTTATTGCTTTGTTTATCTGTGTTATATGGTATCGGGTTAGTCTGTTCGAATCCGGAACGGTTTTGGTAAGGTTTGAGACACTTAGTGTCTAAAGTTAGCTTATGAATTGGAAAGTCAACCGGAAGTTGACTTGTGAGCATTTATCTCGGAATTTGTTTTTTATGATTCAGATAGCTATAGGAGGTGATTTGGGACTTAGGAGAGTGATCAGAATGTGTTTTGGAGGTCCGGAGTAGATTTAGGCTTGAATTGGCGAAATTGGAATTTTGGCGCTTTTCGGTTGATAGGTGAGATTTTGATATAGGAGTCGGAATGGAATTCCGGAAGTTGGATAAGGTCTGTTGTGTCATTTATGACGTGTGTGCAAAATTTAAAGTCATTCGGACAAGGTTTGATAGACTTTTTGATCGAAAGCGGAATTTGGAAGTTTTTGGAATTCTTGGGCTTGAATCCGATGTTGATTTGGTATTTCGGCATTGTTTTGAGTGTTCTGAGGGTTGTAACAAGTTTGAATAGTGTTATGTGACTTATTGTCATGTTTGATATTGAGGTCCTGAGGGCCTCGGGATGGATTCGGATGGTTGGCGGAGAGTTTGAATTTTTGGAGAAGCTGCAGAATTTTTCTGCTCCTGTTGTTTCCGCACCTGCGGATTAGGGACCGCAGGTGCGGCACCGCAGATGCGTTGTAAGGGTCGCAGATGCGACCAAGAGTGAGGAGGGAAAGAGCCGCAGAAGCGTGGAGCTGAGCGCACCTGCGATGGCGCAGGTGCAGGTATTTGACCGCAGGTGCGGTTTTGGGCGGATAAGTGATTTCCGCAGATGCGACCCATGGACCGCAGATGCAGTCACGCAGGTGCGTGTTTGAGGCCGCAGGTGCGGAATCCCTGGGCCAGAACGTATATAACCCTCATTTG